CTACCAACAGTGAGTCCATTGGCTGTGCTGTGTCCAGCTCCTCCTACTTCACCAGGACATGGGGGCCTCTGCCAGTCCCTGTGGGGTGCAGGCTACCTGTGGGATGAAGAGCAGGCTGGGGGACCCCAGTCTCCCATCCCAGGCACCCTTGTGGGAGGAGGTGGGTCAGTGCTGACCTTGTGTGTCCCCAGGCTCCAGCAAGATCTGGCACAGCCGGCTGGAGCGGGCTGAGAGCTGGTGGTTCCCAATGGAGCAGGAGTTGGTAGCCATGAGGATTTACAGCCAGTTCTCACAGGAAGGCAGGAAGGTGGGTCTGGGGCTGCCTCAGCCCAGGGTATCTGGGGGGTTGAGCTGTGCCCCATGGTAGCCCTGCTAACCCACGCTGCTTTGGCAGGCACCAACGGCTGTGCGAAGAGCAATGGGGGCTGTGACCAGCTCTGCCTGCCCAACCCCGCAGGGCGGCTGTGCCGCTGCTCCCCTGGCTACCACCTGGTGCGAGGGGTGGCATGCATGCTGGCACTGCCCTGCCCAGCCCCGCTTCGAGCCTGCCGTGACCTCCAAAAATCTCCAGAGAGCAGATCTGCGAGGGCCGCCCTGACTGCACCGATGGCTCTGACGAGTCTGACTGTAAGTGCCTGCCCACAGCCGGGGCGTGCAGGGGTCCTGGCTGGGCACAGGGAGGCCTGCCCAGTCTCCCCTAGTTTGGGAAGGGGGAGTCTCACCTGGGTCTCTGTTCATCTATGACCATTCCTCCAGGCCCCTCTGTGGAGGTGGGGACGCAGATCCCTGCAGTGGCACCATCAGGGACGTCCCATGTGGAAGAAGAGAAACCAGCCTTACGCACTGCTGCACCCAAGCCTTGGCAGCCCAGCCCCCGCCTGCGGCAGCCCAGCCCCAGCCTGCCTGCAGCCCCTGGTCCCCGGGAGCATGGAGAGCCCTTCCTGGTACCCCCCAGCACTGAGGAGGTGGTGGGGGCCATCCCATGCAGCAGCGAGACGTGTAACCTGCGCGGGGACTGTGCCATCGAGGCCGGGCGGGTGACATGCCACTGCGCCCTGGGCTATCGTGGCGACTACTGTGAGGAGGCAGAGGTGCAGCCCGTCGCAGGACCTATTGCCCTGGGGGTGGCTGTGCTCCTGCTGCTCACTGCCGCTGCTGTGGGGGCCCTGGCCTCGGAGACGGGACAGGCGGAGGAGGTGAGCTGGAGCTGGGCTGGGCTGGGCCAAGCACAACTGAGGATGGAGAGGGACAGGGTCTCTCTGCCCAGGGACAGCGTGGTGTACCAGGGCACTCCTGGGCTATGTGGAAAGCTCCAGGCGCCCTGACAGCCGATTACCAGGGTTGTGGTGGGACCTTAGGATCTGCCCCATCTCTGGGAGATGGCTATGCCTTTCTCGGTCTACTTTTTTCCTCCTCAGGACCTCAAGCACTGCCTCCACCCGGGTGCTGACCTTGTACCACCGTGAAAGTGACCCTGAAGAAGAAGATGAGGAAGAGGAAGAGCTTCCCCCGAAGAGTGATACCTTTGTGAATGAAGCTTATGATGGGAAAGAGGTGAGCAGCACCTGGAGCAGGCCCTGGTAGGGACCATCCTGCCACCCTGGGGTGCTCCCCTTCCTACCCCCAGTATATGCAGATCCTAGGACTGATGTGGTGCCCAGTCTTGAGGCAAGAGTGCCTTGCCCCTATCCCCACTGCTGGGGGATAGGAGCAAGATCTGAGGCTGCCTAGAGTCTGGCTGGCACAGGGGCTGTCCCGCTGCTCAAGTGGCTGGAGCCCCTGTGCCAAGGTGTGGGGTGGGCCCAGGGAGGCTGTCTCAGACTCATCCCTGATGTACCCATCTGTGATCTCTGCAGGAACTGCCAGCCCCGCTGAGGAAGGGACCATCTCACCCTGACACTGTATTTTCATAAAGTAACATTGTCCAGCATCTCCAGTGCCATTGTGGTTTGTGTGTGGGCCAGGGAGGAGAGGTTGGTTTGCTCCTCTCAGACCTCTAAGTTCTAGAGAACTTGCAGTCCAAAGCAAAAAGCTCTGGGAGGTTTTTCAAGAAGTCTCCAGCCCCAATACAGTCTCTAAACAATCTGAATCTGATCCCCTGCTGCAGGATGCATCCTGTATGGTCCCTCAGCCACACTTAGGGCATCTGGATCTGCTGCCAGGCTTAGTTTGCTGGGGTAGAAATCTGGCGAAACAGCTCTGCAAGGAAGCTGGCTCAGCTCTTGCCCTGTTATGCAGGGGGCCAAGCAGCATTTTATAGTGCAGTTCTGACCTCCCAAGTGTCCCTTAGAAACCAGTGAGACCAGTTTTACCATCTTGCTCCAAGCTAATGATGAAAGGGGAAATACATGCTATTTTTTTCCCTGGGATCTGGTTTTGTTTTGTTTTTTCCATGGAAGTGGCTGTGCTCAAGGAAGGAGAAACCTCTTTCAGAGCCGATTTTGACCATGGGGGGAAAGTCCTTGAGGAAGGTGCTATAAAAGCCACCTGTCCCGTTTTATAGACCTTTCCTCCCTGCTTCAGGCAAAGCACGAGGGAGCTGGGTTAGCCGTGCCCACTGGCTCTCAGCCCAGCCTGTCTGGCAGAAAGCCCACAACCATCTCACAGCACAGAACCGTTCCTCTTCATTTATTTTGCTGTTTGCAAAGCCCTGAGTGGGAGGTGCTCCCCTCCCCAGTTCCTAGCTCTGAAGGCTACATGGTGCTAACCTGGACATCGTTCATGTGGGAAGACCGAAGCTGCCTTTGCCCAAGCTGCTACGTAGTGCAGGGGGATGAGCTAAAAGCTGCATGGAGGGACTGGAGCAAGGGCTGGTCCTCAACACAGCACGGCTTTGGCACAGTTGTGAGACCTGGAGCACGGCAGGCTTGTGAGGAAGTTGCAGAGATTCAAGCCAGGTCCTTGGTCTTGTTTCCAGCCTGCTCTGAGGTGCTCCAAGAGAAGGCCAGGGCTCGGAGGAGCAGGAACAAGTGCTGCTCTCAGTGCCAGGCACTGCTGGGGCTACAAGTCAGAGTCACAAGGCAGAGTGCTCCTCCAGTGTTGTCCATCTTGCTCATCCTCCAGCACATCCCAGGGATTGCGGTAAGCCCCAGTGGTGGAGCACTGGCCAGCCTCCAGCACAGGACTGGGGGGTGGTTTGGGGGCCCTGCACTCTTTGCAGCAGTGGTGGAAGCTAAGGGTGAGGGCAAGCCCCCCCAGGATCTCCAGGCAGCTTCCCAAGTAGCTCAGCACCAAGCTGTAGCCTACAACCAGCGTGCTGCCAGCCGGTGCAGGCAGTGCCCACAGCTCATGGGTGTACCAGGAGACGGGCACGAGGCTCAGCAGCCCCGAGAGGAGCAGCACAAGCCCTGCTACGCCAGCCAGCAGGTGCAGTGGCTCGGGCCAGTTACTCCTCCCGCCGGCAGCGAACCCCCAAGGCAGCCACCAGCAAGCCCAGCAGGGTGAGCACCAGCGAAGTGGGCATCATCCCTCGGGCCACCTGCACGGGCACCTGCTCAAAGTAGCCCAGCTCATCAGGCTGCCCGCAGAGGCGGTCGTGGCTGCTCTGCCGCTCTCTGCACATGTCCCAGATGCCCTGCTCCAAGATGAGGTCAACGGGCTGGTCGGGTACGAGGCTCACCTGCCTCCAGTTTGGTGCCAGGGTGCCCGTCAGCGACAGCAGGAGCCCGCAGGGGCACAGCACCAGCCCCACGATCATCGCTGTCGGCGTCCGCATGCTGGAGAGGTGGGTGAAGCCGGTTCCTGTGTGGGTCT